AAACTGCAGGGGGCAAAGTAAATAGAAATAAATATATCAAACTAAGAAGCCTCTATACAGTAAGGAAAATATCTACAGAAGTAAGACACCACCTAAGGAAAAGGAACATAAAATAGTTGCCAGTTTTTCTCCTGATAATGGATTAATATCTACAATATCATTTTATATGTGTATACAACATATAGAGAACCAAGCATATGAAAAAAAAATTCAGTATCACTAATCGTCACCCTAAGAGATGTCACCTCAGCCCAAACATAATGCTGATCATTAAAAAGCAACAACAAATGCTGAGATGAAAGAAATGGTAAGAAAGGAGGCTATTAATCATTGGTCATGGAAATGTAACTAAAGACAGTCATAATGAGAAAGAGTATACAAAGTCTTCACAAAATAATAAAAACCTGGTTACCATATGATCCAACAAATTCATCACTGGGTACATACCCAAAGGTAATGAAATCATTGTATCAAAAGATATTTACTTATATTGACCTGTTTATTACAACATTATTCAGTATAGTAAAAATATAAATTCAATCTAGATGTCTAACAGCAGATGAATGGAAAAGGAAATATATATAGCATATAAATAGAATGATATATAATTTATACATATATGTATATATATTTGTTCATTTGTAAAACAATGCTGGTTTTCACATATGAGAGAAAACTTCACTGAACATATTTTTTTCCAGTTCTTCATTCATTGCAAATGATGCACTTTTCTTTCTACTGGACAAGTAAAATCCCATTGAGTATAGATTCCATATTTTCTTGATCCATTTGCTCATTGAGGGGTATTTGGACTGATTCCATACTTTGGCTATGGTGAACCATTCTGCAGTGAACATGGCTGTGCTGGTGGCTTTACTGTATCCTAGTTTGCAATATCTTGGATAAATACCCAGGAGTGGAATTGCCAAATCATAGGGTAGTTACATGCTTAGTTTGTTGAGGAGACTCCATACTGCTCTCCAAGGTAGTTGAGCAAGTTTATATTTCCACCAACAGTATATTAAGGTTCCCCTTTCCCAACATCCACACTATTATCTGCTCTTGTTTGAGTTCTTGATAATGGCTATTCTAACTGGGGTAAGGTAGAACCTTCATCTTATTTTGATTTGTATTTCCTTTGGGGCCAGAGAGGTAGAGCATTTCTCCATGTACCCGTTAGCCATTTTTATTTCTTTTTATGAGCAGTCTCTATTTAGCTCATCAACCCATCTAGTAATTAGGTTGTTGATTCTTTTAAGAGTTTACTTTTTAAAGCTTTCTTTATATTTTACATCTTAGGCCATTTTCTGATGTATACCTGGCAAAAATCTTCCCTCTATAGGACTATCCTTTTAGCTTGCAGGCTATAAATTCATTTACAAATACCTAGGTGTACATAAATGTATTAATTGAAATATGGTAGGGGAGACCTCAAACAATATAAATAGTATAATTCCTTAGAAAGGCACAATCCTAGTTCAACAAAATAAACACTAGGAAATGATTAGAACAAAATAAACAAAATAAGCACAATCCTAGTTCAACAAAATAAACACTACAAAAGATTAGAACAGGGTCAAGGGAAGGGGGTAGATGAAAAGAAGAAAGGGGATGGAAAATGAAGTAAAAAATTCAATGTATAGCCTACAAACTTTAGAAAAGTGAGGGAAGGGGTGGATTGAGAGGGATGAGTGAGAATTTAAAAGGAGTGACACTGATCAAGATGCATTGAACTCATAAATTGCTTTGTTGAAGGCCACTCCTTTTTATAATCACTTAAAGCTAATGACATTACAAAGGGAAGTATATATGTATATATATGTGTGTGTGTGTGTGTGTGTGTACGCATATATATATATATATATATATATATATATATATATATATATATATAGGAGTCCTTGCAAATGGAATTGGTACATATACCCATACAAACATTTCCTTTATCCATATACACATACATACACACACACACACATATATATGTATACACATGATAGAATATTATTCCAATGTATGGAATTGGATGGAACTTGAAATCATGGTGTTAATCCAAAACAGCAGATATTCTTACTCATTAGTGAAAATTAGGAAGTCAGTCTCATAGAAGAAGGAGTCATCACAAGAGAATAGGAAGGTCTTTAAAGAAGTACAAAGGAGAGGAGCAACTGAAAGAAATTCAACAAAGGACATCAAAACACAGAGAAGACAAACTTGTTTGGGTTTTTCTATAGCACAACACTGTAATTCTGACTTAAAAATTCATGATTTACTTCAAAATGATTAGAAGATTATGAAATTCACAATATATAAAAATATTAATGTTTAAAGTGACAGAAAAGCTCACTAACCTGATTTGATCACCTATATTATGTGCATGTAAATAATGACCATAATGTCTCAATTAAATGTACAAAGATTATTTCTCAATTATTATAATAGAAACAGAGAAATATGAAGATTTTTTCCTGAATTGTGATACTGTGGTAGATTCTTTCTAGGCATATTTTTTAATACCTATAAAAAATACCATCAATCAATTAGCCCTCTTCATGTAGTGTTTGTGAGCTATAATTATAATTCTGTCAGTTAACATTTTTTGACAACTAATTAATAGACACATTCTGGAATCACAGATTGAGTGTGTTAACACAAACATAATTCAATAATAATAAATGCATAGATAAATACGTGAAAGCACAAGAAAATGACCTGAAATAGGAAAACAATACAGAAGGTAGATAGCTGGAATAAGGAAAACAAATGAAAAGAGAAATGGGGTGGGGGGGCGGATTACAGTCATAATACAATGCAGAGCCTATGAAATAAGAGAATTGAAGGCAAAGATTGGGTTGGGAGGAATGGGGAAAAAGATGAAAAGGCTGAGATAGATCAAGATGCATTTTACACATAAACCAATTGGTTGAAAGGTAGCATCCTTGTACAACTATTTAAAGATAATAAAATAAATCAAAGAAATATTTAGAAAAGAAGGAAAAGCACACTGAGGTGACTTTCTTGATATCTAGCTTTTTACTACATACAAGAATAATCCTGTCCATTCTTCCTACAATAAGGAAAGAATACCTTGAAGAAACAGACAATAGAGCCTAAGGAAGCAGAACAACTGGAAAGTGAAGGGATATAAGTCAAAGAGAAAGCCAGACAGAGTCCTCAGTGAACATCTCTAGACTTCCACCATGAGAAAAAAAAAAAAAAGATGGCAGCCTCTGAACCAGGAATCTGATCCTCATTATACAACAACTCTGCCAGGAAACTTGATCTTTCTGGTTTCTAGAAATAAAGTTGAGAAATAAATTTTTCCTGTTATTTGTCCACCTGGTCTGCAGTATTCTATTACAGCTACTGCACAGAATGGCAGTAAAGTGATGTCTCCATAGTCTTCTAGAGATTAAACAAAACAAATCTAAAACTAAACTGAGATTTCAACATTCATCCACTGCAAAGGATCTTCATTTTCTATTATGTTTACTGCTGGCTTGAAAAATTAGAAATCAATATTATTTGAAGAACATAACAGAATCCTTCATGTACATATTCTTCAGAAAGTAATTAAACTGTCTCTCCATGTGTTAAAAATAGGATATGTATGTAAGTCATACTCAATAAGAAGGGAAGAGAAGATGACCCCAGACATTGGATTTAGCAAACAAGGAATCAAAAGCACAATTATTATTAAACTCAAAGAAATCAAAGAAGGCTTTTTATAAGCACTCATAAACTATGAAATCTAACTAGAAAAATAGAATCTTAAAAAATGAACAAATGATAAGATGAAAACATTAAAAACACAGCCAGAGAGAAAAACATTCTATTACATGTCATTTGTAACAAGTTTGAAGTGTTGAAAGAGAAATAGATAAAAACCCTCCAACTTGTAATTCTCTGTCTAATGATAACATTCAAATGTGTAGGCAAAATAAAGATTATTTTTCAGATAAGAGAAATGTAATGATGATCACCATCAGAACTGCACTGCAGAATATAATAAAAGTAGTTTTGGAGGCTGTAGGAAAATGAACCAGATGGGAACTGAGATCGTTATAGAGAAATAGAGAGGCTTGGAGATGTAAATATGTGAGTAAATGTACAAGACTACTTTTTCTTTCAATTTGCTTAAGTTATATATGACTGTTGAAATCAAAGAGGCCTAGCGCTTGCCTTCAGTAAAATGGAGATAATTTTTCAGTTTCAGAAAAAAAGTGTACATTATCACACAAAACCATAGAGCATCATTTCAAACATGAAGATAGGCTTCCATAATCCTATATAAAATAAAAATCCTTCAAAAATCCTATATAAAAACCCTGTATAAAATCCTATATAAAATCCTTCACAATGCTGATTTCCTCTCATGATTTATGATTAGAACATCTAATTGCAAATCTCAAAAAATAAGTCTGCTGAAATTTTTTTGAGAGTGATCAGCCCAATTAGCTGAAAATGAAAGTCTCCCTTTCAGACCTAAATTTTGCATCGTCTCTCTAGGAAGAAAGAGATCATTAAATTATGATTTAGTCACAGAACTCTTTGCTGATTAAAATGCAAAACACTGAACCATTTGCATCTGAAAAACCAAACGGAGTTAACATAGCTAGTCCACTTCCCAATAAAATAACTCCAATTTATCTAAATTTAAATGACTGGCTTAAGAGAAGTCCAAGACAAGTCTGCTCAGTATAATGCATTGTGTTTGTATGTGTGTGTATGTGTGTGTGTGTGTGTGTTTTAGTAGTCATGGAAAACAGTTTGTGCTAGAAGCATCTAGAATTAATTGACAAATATCTAACAACACCATCAACCACAAACTTGTTCATCAACCATGCTTTATTTGCTTTATCTAATGAAAGATACATTTTTTTGGCATAGCTCATTTTTTTTAAATTGTAATTTTTTGGCTAGGCCAGGAGCTTGAACTCAGAGCATTTTTCCCCTCTAGGTTAGAGTTCTATAGCTTTAGCCACAGATCCACATCTGACATGTTTGATGGTTAATTGGAGATAAGAGTGTCATGGACTTTTCTTCCCTGAGCTGGTTTCGAACCATGACCCTCAAGTCTCAGAACTTATAAATAGCTAGGATTGCAGGCATAAGTCATAGGCACCCAGCTCACAACTTCTTTTTTGTTTTTTAACTATCAAAAATGCTTTGAGACATAACGACTTGTACATCTCATTGTAAAATACAGAAAAAAATGCTTTGAGAAAGCAACGGTAATATTCTCAGCTAACTGTAATTTTGAAGACTAGGTACAATTATTGGTAGTACAAACCACGTTTTCCTTATGGCATTTTATTCAATATTATACCATACCCATTCTCTCATTCAAAAGTTGGTATCAGGGCAGAAAGACAAAAATTTGTTAATTTCTCATCATGATCTCATAATCAATGAATTATAAATGAAAAATTCATCAAATATTTTTTGTGAATATTCTAGGTCTTGGTGTTAACAGTCCTTTTTAAAGAGAGGAATAAAATATAACAAAGTTAGTTTCTTTATATTCATAGTCACTTTTCTTTTCTTTTTTTGGGGGGGGGGTCTGGTTGTGGGGCCTGAACTCAGGACCTGGGCACTGTCCCTCAGCTCTTCAGCTTGAGCTCTTCAGCTCAAGGCTAGCGCTCTACCACTTGAGCCGCAGCGCCACTTCTGGCTTTTTTCTTTTTGCCTATGTGGAGCTGAAGAATCGAACCCAGGGCCTCAGGCATGCAAGGCAAGCGCTCTACCAGAGCCACCTTCCCAGCCCCTCATAGTCACTTTTCTTTATGAAGTATTTGGGCAGTACTGGGGCTTTTAAATCCACATAAAATATCACAAATCTAAGGGGACAGAACTAAATAGTAGTTAAAAAAAAAGAAATGGCATAATGAAAATGTTTCATCTAGGGAATATTTTACATCTTCATTTCACATTTCTTGTGAAATATATAGTCCTATCAATTGCAGTAGAGGCAATTTTCTCTTAAATGCTATTCAGAAAAAAGGCAAAGGAAGTCTTTTACATTCTTATACTCTGATTTTTTTTTTGGTGGTGGGGGGGGACGGGGGCTGGTCCTAGACTTGAACTCTGGGCTGGGGTGCTGTCCCTGAGTGCTCTACCACTTGAACCACAGTTCTACTTTCAGCTTGCTTTTTCCCCCTCCTCTTTTGTGATTAATTGAAGGAAAGAGTCTCAGGACTTTTCTGCTTAGCCTGGCTTTGAACTGTGATCCTAAGAACTGAGACTCCTGAGTAGCTAGGATTACAGGCATGGGCCTCTAGAAGTTGGCTATACTCTGATTTTATCTAGCAATCTAGTTAGGATTTAATTTGCAAAGCCACCCAGAAATTCAAGTCTACACAAACCAAAATGTTTCCCAAGATAGGTAATGAAGCATACATAACAACCTTTGAAGAACTTAGAATCCTTTTGAAATCATGTTCATGTTGATAATTGGTTACTATATTTGCTAGGGGGTCAATCGTAAAGCTTTGCTGACAAATTCTTCTTCAAATGAATTAAATGTCAAATCCTGGTACCAGATTTTGTAAGTGGCACTTGGCAACTAACATCTCCAAAAGTTTGTGAATAAGACATGGCATACGTTCCCCACTTGACAGATTACACACATCCATTATAAGATCTCGAAAAGAAAAGCATTTCCATGCCAACCTTCAAACCCTCAACAAGAATTTATTCCAGCCATAACTCCACTGATGACAGAGCAAACCGATGTAAAATGGAAACTTTACCAAAGGAATTGTTGACAGAAGGGTCAGGAGAGGTTTCCCGTAAAATGCTGTCGAGGCCCAACAGTTTTGTTTTATTTTACACTTACGGTAATAAACTCTCATCCTTTAAGTTATAGGATTTTTTCTCACCATCATGTGGTCTAAATTATAAGGTGAAACAGTCCCTTTTAGAATTATTTCAAAGAGGGAAAATACAATATATTCCTGGAAATAATGACTGGTTTTTGTTCAGATCCTTTAGCAAATGAATTGGCCTCCTTGGGAAATGCTAGTTAAATAGAACTCCAGTCAGGGAGATCATCACCAATTTTGTACTTAGTGCTGTCAGTAGTTGCAATCTTGTGTGTTTCTTGAAGATAGATGACTTTGTTTTTGTTCTTGATTCCAAAGAGACTGGACTTAAGTTGAAAGTTATAGAAAGTGTGGTTTCCTGGGACAACTCTGGTACATACACAATTCAGAAAATAGCAGGCCTACAACCTGAGCCAACATTGCTTTCTGAAACCAAATGGAAGTAAGAGAAAAAGAGACAAAAAGATACCAGTAGCATAATACATTCTAAGAAGAATTCATCGAGCAAATAAATTCTTATGTCCTCATTTCATATTCCTTGATAAATAAATGATCCAGCAATGAAATATATTGTCTTCTGGAATCAAAGTGGTGAATTTCGATAAAGAAGATCATTAAGAACTTAAAAGGGAGTAGGGCTTTGATGGTTCACACCTATAATCCTAGCTACTCAAGAGATTTGAGATCTGAGAATTGCAGTTCGAAGCCAGCCGAGGCAGGAAAGTCCAGGTTAACTCCAGTTAACCACCAGAAAACTAGAAGTGGTGCTGTGGTAGAACAATAGCCTTGAGTAAAAGAACTAAGGGACAATGCCCAGGCCTTCAGTTCAAGCCCCATGACTGGCAAAAAGAAAAAGAAAAAAAAAGGGAGGGGGTGTGAGGAAGGGAATGGGAAAACATAACGGTAAACTACAGACAGCCAGAAACATTTTGTGAAACTCCGATTTTGCAAGCATTTCCTAGACTTGCAAGTCAAAGAGTCAAATGAAAATTGCATTATTTAATTCCTTGTTCTTATACCTTATCTTCAGAGAAAGAATAGCCTGTAATTCCAACGGAATCACTTTCCAACACAAATACACATGCGCACACACATGCAGACACACATACATAACTACACATACATGCATGTAAACATCCACCTTTATGTGCATAAACAATGGTACCTCTCTTTGAATGAGAATGATTTATTTTCTCAAAATTTGGAATAAATGGGATAACTAATGTATGCCCAAATTTCCACTGTGATTATAGCACTTAAAGATGAATATGGGAAAGGTCATGTTGAATCCCTTAAGGAAACAATAGTTTTCCTGCATCTGAAATTGGAGAGATTGTCTGCTTCTCAACAGCCTAATCCATGCCCTGCTGTGTTCTGTGGAGAGTTTCAGTTTGGGATCCCTTTCATCTCCCATGCAGCTCTGATATCTGCACTGCTAGTGGATACTCAGGAAGTGAATGAAAGTACTGCCAGACCAACTCCTATACTGCAAAAACCAAGACGTCTGCCTATTACAGATACCTACAACCCAGGCAGGCAAAAGGCTTTCCCTAAGGCTGATTTGCCTTCCTCTACCCGTCACTGCAGCAGATTCTTCCCAACAGCATTTCATCATGGCCTTCAGTAAATATGGGCTTGACATAGTAGCTGGCCAAATTATGAACAGAATTTATTCTGTTCTAGGTGGTGAATGATTGTAAATACCTTCTTAGCCTTCACAGCCATAGTAAATACGTGATCAAAATAACAAACTTAACAGAATAATGCCAAATACGACATTTTTATTTAAGTAATTTGCTCTCCCAGTTGATAAAACTATGGTGACACTCATATCTAAGCAGATATCAGAAGAAAAATAAAGGTTTTGTGCACATGTGTGTGTGTGTCTGTGTGTGTGAACAGTGGAGCTTGAATTCAAGGCCTGAGTGCTATCTCAGCTTTTTCCACTCAAGATTGGTGCTGCACCAATTGAGCCACACCTCCACTAGACTGGCTTTGAAACTCAACCCTCGGATTTCATCCTCCTTGAGTAGCTAGGATTATAGGTGTGAGCCAGAGGCAAGAACTTGAAATGTGTTTCACCCTAACTAGACTGCCAGCCTCTAGCTGCCTGATATATTGCCCTATATCTCTATAAGGCATCACTTTGCAACAGTAGAGTTCTTTCTGTTTTGTTGTTTTTTTGTTGTTGTTGTTTTTTTTGGTTTTGGGATTTATCTTGTGATCATCATGATGATGGTTAACTTTCATTAAAGGTGTATTGTATGTTTGGCACGGCGCTAAGGCTTAGACATGACACCACCTCATTTACATTCATGGAACATATTCTAAATATAGAGCTATACTCTGAATACCCATGAGAAAATACACAAGTGAGAGGATAAGTAAACTGTCTTAAAGTTACACTAATTGAGTGATGGAGACTTTGACTCCGTAAGCCCTTGCTTGTGATCAAAGCCAAGGCCTGCCATTCATTCCAAAAAGACTTCAAAGGCCAATCAATATCCCATTCTCCTTCTCTTCCTGGGAACATAACCCAGGTAAGTCCAACTTGCTAGGATGCCTATTCTGCAATTTTACAATTTGGGGTTTCAACATGTGACTTCAACAAGGCAGCATCACATAACAGGATCCAAGGTTCAGCCAGAGACTTTTCACCCTTGATGCTTTCCTTCCCATTGCCTCCTATATTTTCCAGCTCTTTGTGTGTGTGTGTGTGTGTGTGTGTGTGTGTGTGTGTGTGTGTGTGTGTGTGTGTGTGTGTGTGTGTGTCTGTCATGGGGCCTGAACTCTGGGCCTGGGTGCTGTCACTCAGCTCTTCAGCTCGAGGATAGTGCTCTACCACTTGAGTCACAGCGCCACTTCGGCTTTTTCACTATGGTGGAATGCCATTTGTTTAAAAAGAAAGTGTTGACTTTTGTGTGACAGAGCCACTCATGATCCTTGCTCTTCTCTTCCTTAGATTGCCAGAATTCTATGGCCTTTAAATATGTCTGCCTTTTAAATTTTTTTCTAGGTGACCAGACTAAAGTACTTAGAGCTCTCAATCCTATTTGTGTTTTCTTATTTGTGTTTTCTTGATTGTGTATGTGTGTGTGTGTGTGTGTGTGTGTGTGTGTGTGTGTATGTATGTGTGATGAAGAATAGTGAAGTGAATGTTATCTAAAAATAAGGATCTGAAACATTGACTGACTATATTCTATTTTAAAAATTATAACCACCAACTGGTGCCAGTGGCTCATACTTGTAATCCTAGCTCTTCAGGAGGTCAAACCTGAGGATGTCTATTTAAAGTTATCCTGAGCAAACAAATATGAGAGACTCATTTTCAATTAACCAAATGCCAAAACTGAAGTTACATCTTAAGTGGTAGAGCTTCATCCACGACTAGAAAAGCTGAGCAACAGTGAGAAGCACTGAGTTCAAGCCCCAGTAACTGGCACAAAAATTAAAACAACTGAAAAAATTATAGCCATTTACCTTAAAAGCCATGGCCACACCACATATATGAAACAGTCATCCAAATAGTTGAACACCAATAAACTTTACTAAAAAATATTGGAGTAACTTTCTTTTGTGAGTTATCCTGTAATTGATTACCCCAACACATCAATTGTGTAGAAAGAACATTGCTTCTCAATCAATACTACTATTAAAACCAGCCCACTAATTAGTCATATATTTTCAGAGTTCAGAGGGAAATTAAACCAGTCAGCATCTATGTGCATAAAGAGTTGTCTCTGATGAGAGACTAATTTTATAATCAATACAGTAACAACAGCAACAACAAAAGGATCAAAATGATCATTTAAGTTAGAATGAGAGTTCTATATCTGCATACATAGAGTTTGAATCTCACTTTTTCTTTGCTGTTAGCAGCAATCTAGCAAGAGCTACAGCTTCAATTAATGAAGCTTTCTTTCCCCAGGTGTCTCTGGATAGTCTATAGGAGGAAAATTAGTCTCTGGATCCAGAGAAAGAAGGTAAACACATTCTTTGTGTTTACATTTCCAATGAACTCTCTTCATTTGACAAAAATGCTTATGGGCAGAGATGTATATTGGTAAGTTCTTTAAGATGAAGAAATGCTGACGATGCATTTGGAAGGCATGCTGGGAACAGGCAAATGAACTCTAAATTTAGCTTTAACTCTAGGGAAGGGGATAAAGAGTGATTATGGCTGTTATTCTGATGAGGTTAGTAGTTTGGCTTGTGACCTCTTGAGAAAAATAAGATGGAGTGTTCTAATGGATTTTTTCTTAATCTAATGTAGAAATGACATTGAATGATGGTTCTTAATTAGTTAGCCTCCTCTTCTTCACCTGCATCGATGAAATACCCATATATTTGCCTGGATAGTTTGTGAAATGCAAAGCTAAGCCCCAAAACACTTGCTCCTTGATTTACCTTTGTAATAATAGAGTAAGAGAGGCAAATTCAAA